TTTTTGGGGGAAGGCTTCCCTGGCCTCCCCTGTTCTCATGCCTGTCATGCTTTATTGCAAATGTTTGACTGTTTACCCCACTAGGTCAGCATGGACAGGAATCATGTCTATGTCAATACCTGCTACCCACTCAGTGCCTGGCATATAGTTTGGTGCCTACTAACTATTTGCTGACAGAATGAGTGGATGGGTGAATCCATGTAGGGAGCAGGAGTAACTCATGCATAGTCACTCGTGAGGTAGCAGAACCGAGACTCTGCCCATGGCTGCTGGACTCCCAAACTCAAGCTCCTATGTGTCATACATTTCCTTCATTTCCTTTCCCCCAGCTCCCAAACAAAAACAGTACCTTGATATGTGCAGGAAAACAGATCCAATCTGTTGCTGAACACATACCTTTAATTAACTCTTTGTGGAAATTTAAACTCCACGGCATAGCATCTTTCATCTTTGGGAAAAGGCTGAATTCCTCCGAGTCTCTGTACTGGGAGCTCTTTACTGAGCAGGGTGTGAAGTGATAAAGGATGACAAAGATAAAGCTGCTGCCCTCAAGAAGATTTAAATCTAAAGCACTGGCTTGATACCACTTGGAGTGGTGTAAGAAGCCCAGACCAAGCCTCATCCAGGCTGTGGTCAAAGCGCTCAACACATGAGTTTGAAACTCTGAAGTCTGGCTTGAGAGTCTTAATAGTCCAAATACAGAAGTGGGGGCAGGGGTGGAGTGAGATGAAGGAGAATGGAGGGTGGCGGGGGTTGTGCGGAATTTCTTTTCTTAAATGAAAAGCCCAAATAAAATAAATAAATGAAAACATAAATCACAGTGTCTTCTCCAGGCTCCTGGCTGGAGGAAAACAAATTAGAAAGGGCTTGAATGAAAGGAGTATTGAAGAAGCTTGACTTGAATTAAGTGGTTATATATTTTAAAAGCACTTTGTTGGGTCCTGTAAAAATAGCAAATAAAAAGGTAGTAATATCCCCTGGCTCTGTGAGGCAAATACCAGTAATAAAGTAAGCTTGGGGGGAAAATATAAGAAGAGTAAACTTCCGTGGAAGGGAAACAGAAAGCATTTGGTTTGGAAACACTTTCACTTCTCCCTTAATAATTAATGATGAGATGCTATGTTTTCAAATAGGTATCATGTGTCTTTCTAACACCACTTACTTTCCTCTTAAAATGCCCCATCCTCCAAATTTAAGGACAGAACTTGAAAATTTTTTCTTTTTACAGGCAACCTAAACTAATTATTTCAGGGCTATAATTTGGGATCCATTTTACAATCCCTTTTTTCATAGTTTGAAAAAAAATTAATAATGAAAATTATAGCCAGCATTCACCACAGGAGTCAAAAACGGGTTAGCAACCCGTTTTGGCCTGCTAGGTTATTAAACTTTAACTGGAGAGCTTAGATATTTCAACAGATATTTAGGGGCTTGTGCAATGAGTCTTGAAGATATAGTTATGAACGAAAATAACATGAGAAAAATTACCAGGAAAGAGCTAAATGAACTTTCTTCTTGTTAAGAAATGTTTAGATCATTTTGTTTGTAAATGGCAGGTGGGTCACACAATTCCAATGTAATTTCAGAAAGCCATCTTCTGAATGTAATAAACATGTCTGCAATAATAGGATTCAGAAAATAGCAAAATGCATTCCAGACGCCCTTTGATTGTGCATACAGAACAGAGGATTTAGCTATAATTGGCTATAACACAGTTATGGACACCAAATGACACACTGTGGAGTTGGGTGATGTAGCAGCTCTGATTAGGGATGGTACATTTCAGCCCAACACAAGAAATCAAATAGCAACATATAGTGACAGAGCACCTTCCCTTCCATTCCTTTCCCCTCCGTCCCTCCAGTTCTCCCTCCCTTCCTTCCTACCTTCCTCAATTTCCCCCTTTCTGTGCAATTAAAGTATCATAAATGAGACTAGAAAACTTGTTATTTTTCAGCTAATCAGTTGTCAGCCAAGACGCCATTCTCTTCAGAAGCTAACAATTGTTTGGAAAGGGGAAGAGCAAGCCCATGGAGAATTGACTTTTGGAGAACTAGATGTAATTTGAATCAAGAATTATAATAGGAAATAAACCATTACGATAAACAAGGAAACATGTACACAGTTACTTTCATCACGTAATTTTATTCACTCTAGTTGAGAAAATAAAGAGATAATACTGACCGAAGCACCTGGGTATTTAATGCAAACTATAAAATCTATTATATTAAACAAAGTCAAAAGCAATGTGAAAGATCTTGAATATTCAAGGCATGCACCTCATTACAGACTTAGCAAATTAAAACACAAATAGGATTAGAAAAGAATAATGTAACAATCTCCCACTACGGTCCCTAGAGCATTAAGTCATAAATTGGGTTTGCATTAAATTGTGCCTGCAGTGTTGAATTCAGGGAAAGAGCTGTGGGCTGGAGATAAACCATGCTGGGCTACTCACCAACTTTGGCAAAGCTATGTGTTTTCTGAGACGCATAGTAAATTTGTTAGAATACAGCAGGTCCACAAAAAAGAGCACTTCATATCTTAATTAAAAAAATGTCTAGTGTCACGGCATGTGAGGCCTGCAGAGATGTAAATGCAGACAAAATCCACATGTGAAATGGAGCTGTATTTCCTGGTTAAGTTTAAAGCCATTTCACTAAACATACTGCGTAGTACCAGACACAGTCAAAACAAAACAAAACTCCCCAACACAGGGGTTTTCAATAATTTTGGTTTGGTTTGGTTTTTGTTTTTGTTTAGTTGTGTGATTTTGCAAAGCAAAGGAGAAAAGGAGAAAGCAAATCATCCTCTAAAGAACATGTGTGGACTTCCAGAATATCCAAATAATGCCCCCTTTCCTTCCATGTGAAGATCAGACCTTTACTATTCTGGCTGATAAGTAGAAATATACATATGACTTACTGTAGAAAGCAAATGAATATACTTAAATCAGTTTTAAAAATTGTGTATGCTTTGAAAAACAGTGGACTACAAAGTTTATTCTTTTGAGTTTGTTTTCTAATCCCCTGTACAATAGTGGCTGACTCAGGAAAGAAAGAAATTGCTGTGGTAGTTCTATGGCATCCATGTGATGTGCCTTGTGCTAACTCCTACTTGTTGCCTCTTTGCAGATGGGCAGGCCCACTCTGCTCCAGTTGTTGGTTCTTGTTTCTTCAAGGCCATTTTCAGGCACAGAACACAATTTATTTTCTCTTCCTTTTCTTGGCATCCTAAGACTCTTATGAGAATTAAAATTGAAGTACAATGGCAAGGAGATAGTAGGTGCTCAAAAATGCTAGTCTAGGCTGGGCACGGTGGCTCACTCCTATAATCTTAGCACTTTGGGAGGCTGAGGCGGGTAGGTCACGAAGTCAGGAGTTCAAGACCAACCTGGCCAAGATGGTGAAACCCCATCTCTACTAAAAATATAAAAATTAGCCAGGTGTGGTGGCAGGCACCTGGAATCCCAGCTACTGGGGAGGCTGAGGCAGGAGAATCGCTTGAGCCTGGGCGGTAGAGGTTGCAGTGAGCCAAGATGATGTCACTGCACTCCAGCCTGGGCAACACAATGAGACTCTGTCAAATAAATAAATAAATAAATAAATAAAATAATGAAATAAAATGCTAATCTACCTGCTCCCACTTCATCACTGAGTGCAGGTCAGAAAGCAAAATCTGCAAGGCATCCTCACATGCTCCCTGGTGTCAATCTAAGCTGCTATGCTCAGTGGTGTGCAGACGCTTGGGCTCTGCAGTGCAATATGTCTAGACCTTGCCATTGCGGGGAGTCCAAGCCTCCTCTTCCTCTCCCGTTTCTCCTCCCTTCCTCACGTGTGGGATCCCGGGCTCTTCCTCCCAGCCCATCCAGCTGTTGTGACCCCCAGGCGACAGGTTTCTGCATCACACTTAGCAGCAGACAGTCTGTTTAAGCCTACATTCTCTATTTTCAAAAGCTTCTTTGAAAGTCTAACTGGCTCCCATTTTGGCTTTAGTAAGACAAATATGGGCTAAAATACGAGGTGTCCCTTAAGTATGATGGATACTCAGGACCAGCTGAAGTTTCCCATTGCCAAAGTCTGGCTTCTCATGGTGACACTTTTTCTACCATGTTATTTATGTGGTGGTTTTACTTCTAATTATGGCTCATCATGGCTGTTAGTGCTGAGCAGTAAGAGAGCAAGCTGCATTGTACTGCGTTTTAACTCCAGCCCATAAAATGGGCGATAAAACCGAGGGCTTAAAAACCAAACAAAACCCAAAAAGCATGAAGCTTTCTGTGACAAGCTCACATCCGCTTCTGCCATCCTCAGGCTGGAAAGTTTCACTGAGGAAACACATAGAGACAGGTGACTTCCTGGGCCTGGGCGCCTCAAATTTCAGCTTTCAGCAATCCTTTATTGTAGACAAAACAATCCCAGACCTCGGATATAATTAACACATGCCAGGTTTAATCAGAACCAGTGTACTTCGTTGTTTAGAAACTAATGAAGGCAAGTAGACGTTACTTAACAATGTAAATAATGAAAGGTCTTTTGTTGTTCTCAATTTCGATTACTATTTTTTGATGCTAAGAAGAATGCCACTTGGTATGTGTGTAAACAAAGAAGATAAATGGCTGGGATGAGAATGAGTTGTCCGTAATCTGATTAAAGCGATAGAGCTGGCTCCTAGGAGAACCACACAGGGCTTAATGATTGGGCCGTTGTTCTTAATACGTCTAATGTTCACTCTTCAAGAAATCAGGAAAAATGTTAAGAGGCTCCTGACATTTCACCGTGGCAGTGGGCTCTTGTAGCTTCCAACAGGAAAAGAACATTCTCAGTGGCTGGAATACAATGTCCAGCCATGTAATTTGCCCAAATGATACTTTAAAATCTAAATCTGCTCCAATTCATTCACTCTGCTGGCAGAGCCATCAGGGACAAGACAATGACAGGCATGGTTTTGTTGAAGTTGTGATGTGGAAAACCAGCTGGGAAACACCCCTTTTCTTTGTCTTTGGTTAGTCCTTTTCCTTCTTGACAAAATGCTTCTGGACTCCAGTTAAATGTCTGCTAGTGTTTGGATCATAAGTACATGACTTAAAAGCCTGTGTATACTCTAGCCTGTCAAGATATTAGGGAGGAAACTTAGCCTCATTGCTGAGCTCTACAAGAGCTCATTTTGGTCAAATGTCATGATTTACCCCTCCTTTCTTATAGTGTGAGTTCTGTGTTTGTATGTTTGTGTGTGTGTGGTCATGCAACAGTGATTCATAATTAAGTAGTGCTGCAAATTCATATCAGTCTTTTACCCTTAGGAAGGTCTGTGTGCATTGTGCATTTCCTCCAGTATACAATCATCGTGCAGCTTGCAGACCTCCTAATACATTTTAGGATTATCCCAATAATATTAGCTCACTAGGATCTTTGTTATGTTTAAAACTCCAAACTGGACAATTAGATTCCAGATGGACAGGTGTTGAATTATTCTGCTTCCTTTAAGCCAGCAACCCAAATGATTTTGAATACTCCCATTTCAATTCAACAAATATGTATATGGATAGATAGCCCACTGTGTGTTAGTGTAGCCCACTGTGTGCTAGTGTCCTATTTTATGCATAAGCTGAGGTTCAGAGAGGTTAAATAACTTCCCGAAGACAATTAGCAGGGTGGTTAGTCAGTAGCTTAGTCCTAACTTTGAACAAAACCCATCAGATTCTCAAGTCCATGTTCTTTATATCAGCCTATGTACCTCAATCACCAGTTAAACCTCTGTGTTTCAACAAACACTAAATGCCTCAGACTGGCCTCTTTTCTTGGTAGTGTCCATGAGTCTGATAGAAACAAGCAAGTGTCCCTTTCCCAGTCTAAGAGAAGCAGCAGTTGCCAGGGATGTGGCCAACTTTCTCCTCACAGCATGGTGAGTGGGGCGCTTCAGAGTACTTCTCAGTTCCCCGATGTGTCTGCCTCCTCTTTCTGTCACAGACCAGCATTTGGCTTTGGTCACTTTGTGAGCCCAACAGAGAGACCCCGGGAGGACAATGGGGTGGAAAGGAAGAGAAAGAGGGAGTGTTTGAGAGCGAGAGCGAGCAAGGGAAAGAGCTGATTCTCTGTCTTTTCCAACCCTTTTCCCCTTCCTGCTGGTCCATTTTAGAGCCATGTTGTCACACATTAGCACCCCCATCTGAGGGCAGAGACAGGGAATGACAGGAGATGACACATAATCACAGCTAAATTAGAGACTTCTGGTTTTTAAAAAGGACGTGCAAAGAGACTGAAACTCAGGCGCTTTCTCTTGGAAAATGCTTGCAGTAATTTTAGGGGCAGGTTTTTAGGATCTGAACATATTAGCTAAAACATTTGAATATAAGGAGCCACGCTGCATGGTCAAGTGGAAACAGGCCAAGGATAGGTGGCATAGTTGGAGTGGTCTTGGGAAAGCCACTTCACCTCTCCAGGCCTCAGTTTCCTGTTCTTCCCCAGGTGCACACTGAGCCAGACAATGCTTGAGATTCCACAGGAAAGCAGTGAGAAACAGGGTGGCACACCACACTGGAGTCAGCGGAGTGGCCTGAACCTTAGCTTTGTTGCTTAGCTGGAGCTGTGTGACCTGTGTTACTCAACTTCTATGAAGCTTAGTTTCCACCTCTGTGAAGTGGGGATAAGATGTTTGCCTCAAAGGGTCATTAAGGGGGCTAGATTGGCAAAGGCATGGACAGCTTCTGGAGAAGGCATTTTCCCCAGGACTAGAAAGAATTGCTGAGTGGGATGCTTTGAAGGTGAGTGAGGGAGGTTAACTGGTTTATGAAGAAGTTCAGGCTGGGAGAGGCCTGGCTTTGGAGTGGATTGAGGGTGCTCTGGGCCACCCTTTCCAAGGGAGGAGAAAATGAAGTGACTGTCAGGACAGAAAGCAGGGTGTCTCAATGCTAAGCTCCATGGTGACGTTGCCTTGGAGGAAGAAAAAGAAGTCTTGGAACCTCTGTCTTTCTGTTTACTACTTTTCACTTCTTAATTCTTTATTTATAATGAAGATGGGAAGGTTTACAACTTTGGCAGTTCCATTTATTTCTACCATTTTCACCTAAAACAATAAAAGAAACAGGAATTATTTCCACTCTGGTTTCAACTGCAACTGGATAAAGTCAGTTTAATTAAACATGTTTCATGTCTGAATGTATCTGTTTTGTTTCTCTGTCTGTCTGTATCTTTCTTTCTCTACTACCAAATACCATACCATCCCTGTCCCCTTTTTCCTTCTCCTCTCCATTCTCCAACCTCTCAGCTGGGCACAGGAAAACAGGGAATAAGGACCCAGTGAACTAACTAGAGGGGCTGAAGCTATTACTAGGAGTCTTGTGCATGAAGAAGTCCAGAAGAGCAAATCCTCCCCAGAACGGCCCATGGAGACTGCTAATGAAGGAGGGAGGATACCTTCTGTTCCTGTGTTCAGGCTCCAATGCATCCAGGCCACAGGAGGCTGCCCCTCCAGGCAGAGAAACTGATCCGTCCCTATCAGTGCCAGGCAGAGGGCAGGGGATTTCGCACCTGAGCAAGGGATGGGATGACTCTCCAGCTTTCATCCTCCCTGGAGTTACTCCTGAGGGTCTCTGTAGACACAGAGGAGGAAGCAGGAGCTTTCTTTGCATAATCATGATCAGATATTTATATTTGTTTAGGATTTGCTTCTATAGGATGTTTTTGTAATTCAAATCTATTTCGAAAATATATCTGGATCTCTTTTATAAGACAATGCAATAAAAACACCAGAATGATAGTGTAAGAAAGCAGACTTGAAATGACTGAAAAGGAGCAGAGGAATCAGATGTTGCTAGGCATCTGAGATGAGATGATTAAAACAGCCATGTATGGCTTTGAGCTAAGGCAAAAGGGAGAATCTGGGGCAACACAGTTTATGTCATCTGACAACATAAAGCATGCATATCCTTTGTGTTGAGCCATACCGCTTCCTGGAACAAACTCAAGGCAGAATTTATTACCTGGGTTCTTGTTTAAGTGTATGTTGAATGACCAGTTTGATGAAAGCCTTCAGATAGAGTTTTGCAAAAGAACAAAGAACAAGACCTGGAACAAAGAACTGACCCTCTCTGAAAGACACCAGAATCACGATTACAGAAGAATTAAGGTTACAGAATTAAGATTACAGAAGCTGGCCCAACATTTGCTCACTACCTTTTAAATTCGTCTTTAAAAATGACCACTTTAAAAATATTTTTTGCTTATATCAAAAGTAATACATGTTCATTGCAGGAAATTTGTAAAATACAGCTTAAGAGAGGGGGAGAGAGAGAGAGAGAGAGAAATCTATAATCTATCACTCATTTACCACTATTAACATTTTAGTGTCATCACCCCATGTTTTTGTTTATGCATAGGTATGCATATCTATTTTGCAAAGAAAAGAAATTGCTATATCTTTTGAACATTTTTCTTTCAATAATATACTATGAATATTTCCCATTCAATTTAATACCTCTACAATGTTACTGAAGGCTTATGATAGTGTATTGATATTAATACTGTAGAATACATCAGGAAGATATTATTACAGTATGTTTAACCAATCCCCTGGGTGCTAGATATTTGGGTTTCTAACATTTCATCCTTTTAAACTATTCTGTGACGAACCTCTGGTGCTGACTGTTCTAAGGGTACCCTCCATTACCAGTTGTGTTTCAGAGAAGGCAGGTCTAGTCCATTCAAGGCCAGGATCCCCCGGAGGTCAATACATTATTTGCCCAGTGAATTTGTGGGCATATCTATATTTTTTGCACTTTTCCAGACAGGAAGGAGGAAGCATTACTGAGAACCCACAGTCTTGGGTTAAGGAGCATTCTCTGGGCTGCTTAGTGAGGGCAGAAATTTTTTTTTTTTTTTTTTTGAGACGGAGTTTCGCTCTTGTTACCCAGGCTGGAGTGCAATGGCGCGATCTCGGCTCACCACAACCTCCGCCTCCCGGGTTCAGGCAATTCTCCTGCCTCAGCCTCCTGAGTAGCTAGGATTACAGGCACGCGCCACCATGCCCAGCTAATTTTTTGTATTTTTAGTAGAGATGGGGTTTCACCACGTTGACCAGGATGGTCTCAATCTCTTGACCTCGTGATCCACCCACCTTGGCCTCCCAAAGTGCTGGGATTACAGGCGTGAGCCACCGTGCCCGGCTGAGGGCAGAAGATTTCTATCCTAAGATCCTTAGGATGGGAGCAGAAAAGACAGAGTGTGGGGCCACCATGGAGGCAGCAGGGAGGGGTTCCTAGTGGTCACTGATTGGAGCCCTCATATTCCTTGTGGGGAGGCTCCAATTTCTCCAGAGGTACTTTTCTACCTGGGAGTCTGCCTTATGTCAGGAGCATCAGTGGCTCTGCAGAGAGGTGGGACATATTTGGATACTCTTATTTTTAGTGAGTTTGTTACTTCCCAAGAGGTGCGTGTCATTTGTAAGTTGTTCTCCTTCTCCATGGTTCTTCAGAAGACTTGAATATGATTTGCGATCTAGGCACCAAAACCGAAAGTTCCTCTAAAGAGCCGCACAAATAAATGACCTCCCATACCATCAAATTCTCTGTGCATAGCAATCCCTAGTTAACCTCAGACAGATAAGAAGAGAGAGTATTTTTCATCAATGACAAGGACAGTTTTTTCTGACTAATGTGGTGTGGCAGCAGATACAACTAAAAAATACCCCCAAGCCTGTCTTTATGCATTTTTGCACCTCCAACAACACTTTTAAGTACACATAGGTAGGATAAATATTTAATCGTTAAATATCTGAAGTTATTGTAATCCTATTCCAGCACTATTCTTTTTCCCTACATTAAAAAAAATTTTCGGCCGGGCACGGTGGCTCAAGCCTGTAATCCCAGCACTTTGGGAGGCCGAGGCGGGTGGATCACAAGGTCGAGAGATCGAGACCATCCCGGTCAACATAGTGAAACCCCGTCTCTACTAAAAATACAAAAAATTAGCTGGGCATGGTGGCACGTGCCTGTAATCCCAGCTACTCGGGAGGCTGAGGCAGGAGAATTGCCTGAACCCAGGAGGCGGAGGTTGTGGTGAGCCGAGATCGCGCCATTGCACTCCAGCCTGGGTAACAAGAGCGAAACTCTGTCTCAAAAAAAAAAAAAAAAAAAAAAAATTTCTAGACTGTGCTTCAACCTCAAAGGACATACTTTGGAAATAATATTCCATTAAAGACATTGTTGGGGCAACTTTATTACTCATTAGTGTGTTTTAAAATGGACTGGAATCAAAATGCTTTTTGCTAAAGTAAAAATACATCCGTTTCTAAGATCTAATTGTGCAATTGGTTAGAATTTCTATCTATCAGTTCAAAGGGAAACTTGGTTTCAGTGAATTTGTTTTTAATAAAAATGTGTTATCTATGATAAATATATTTCACTTTGTTCAAATGGATTTGATTGGGAAAACATATTGAGCAGAAATACTGGTAGAGCTTAATTTCATTGCTTTGAGAAAACGTATTGAATGCTGGTTTGAATTAAATTCTATTTGTTTTAATAAAAGTGTATTGGCCTGAGTGTACATATATTTGTTTTAGTGGCAGTGCATTGGATCCAATAAAACTATATTGGCTTCACTGCTTATGTCTCCTTTTCAGTGAAAATGGATTGAATGGGAAAACGAAATAGGCATGAAGCAGCCAGCCCCAAGGTCTCCGTTTGGTAAGAGTATCCAAATAAACTGGGAGAGAAGAGGGGTTTCCATAGACTTTATATCAAAATATGCTTTTAAATTCAAATACCTTTTACTGTCAAGGACTTGCATGTGAAACTGAATTGTCACCATAAAGAATGCAATTTTCTGAAACAGCCCTTTCTATGGACAAGTTATGGGACTGTCCAAGACAGAAGAGGAAGAAATCCTCTGACAGCCCACAGCAGGTTCATCAGCATCTCTTAAGCTTTATACGGGCCTCATTGGTTCTAATAAGCGGCTGTCTACCAAGCATTCCTAAATCCCTTAAATGAACAGAAAAGGGATCATGAGTACTCCCCAAGGATAGTGCTGGCCCATCAGCATTGAAACGGGTCTGACTTTGAACAGATTAGAAAGTGGGGAAAAGGGAAACAAGAGTCACCCTGAGACACACTTCAGAATCACCAGAGTTCACAAAGATTATAGACCCTCAGAGAGGAATTGGCTCCCCACAGGGAGTAAATGCTGGTACTCTCATCGAGAAACTGGTAGCCTCTGCCAAGTGCCATGACTGCATTGTGTAGCTATAAATGGCTCTGAGATGCCCAGGCCACAGATACTCCTTTGCATAGGTGCCCTGACCCTGAAGCCGGCATTCAAATAATGGAGAGTAATGACAATACTGGCTGCTGTCCCTACGTGACTGTCTCTCGATTAAGAGAGTCTGTGAACTGAATTGTTTTTCCACCAGAAGATGAACTTTATCTGACTCTTCTACCCAGTTTCATTTAGCCTTGATGAGAAATAAATGCAAACACTACTTTCATTAACACCTTTGTTCCAACTAAATGTGCTAACAAGCTCCAGACTTCAACCTTCCCACTAATAACTGCTAATTCTGAAGTAGCACCATTACCAAGGCAATCTAAGCCCTTGGTGTATAGTTGCTAATTTTTTGAATGCCTGAATTCTTAAAAGGGTAAGAGAAGAAAATTTATTCACGGATTCTTTTTTTCCTGTGGAAATAGTCCAAGTTATATACTAGCAGTCAAGAAAAAAGATGGAGTTTGTGATACATTTTCTGTGCTGTTCTCGGAGGAGTGGGACTGTGGCCCTGGGGGACGGCAAGTGGTTCACTTTGTCAGAATGTAGCGCGGATCAGCCACATTACATAAATATGATGTGGGGTGAGATGATTTCAGGAACTCCCAGGGGTGAGTGGGGAATTGAGACTAAGAGGGGAGGCAGCTAACACAGGGTTTGTTGTTAAGCACCTTACCACTGTGGCCAACTGGAGTTTGAGCCTGCTGTGGGAAATCTAGGAGTTGGCATAAAACCTGTGTCTTAGAATTATCCCACTCAAGGGGCAAGGGAGCTGAGGTTCCTATATATGATGCACTTTTATACATCCATTCCCATCCTCATTGGTTGAGAGCTGGTCCTGGGAGCGTTAATTCTCTAGTGGACCCAGCCTACCAGGTGAGCAGGCACTGTGGGCTCTGACCCCCAGAGAAAGCCTTAAAGCAAAGAATGCAGCTGGAAGTGGTAAGGCTGAAGGGCAGGGCAGGGCACTGATAAAGTCTGCTACCCTATGAAGCCCATTTTACAGATGAGTGAACTGGGGAGTAGAGGTTTAGTAGTTCTCCCAGTGACAGAGACAAGAGGTGGCACAGGCAGAATGCAGACCCAGCTTCTGCCTCGCTTGAAAGTCGGTGGCTTAACTCCTTAGCCACATGGCTCTGGTCATGCTGTCCAGCTGAGGAAGCTGGCTTGCCTCCCAAGTTTTAGAAACCATGTTTTGAGGGATTTTTCACTGAGTCAGAGCGGGGGGCCATATTGCAGATTGGAGACAGGGCTGGAAGTGTTACATTGCCTGAGCTTCTGTCCCTACAAGTGGTCAGATAGTGATCTCTCTTAGGCTGAACTGAATCTTAGCATCTAGGTACCTGTTTATGGCTGCTAAACTCAACTTGTCCTGTGATGTA